CAACGCGTGCTTCACCAGCTTGGTTCGCGACGGCACCCAGCAGGTCCGCATGCTGCTGTCTCGGGCGCCCCTCACGGCCAACGTGCTGTTGAGCGGGACCACCGTCGAACTGGAGTGCGACGCATACACGAAGGCGGAGGCAGACGGGCGCTACCTGCCCAGCAGCGACTTCACGACCCTGGACACGAGGTACGAGATCACGAACGCCAACGTGAGCTACACCAGCTTGGTTCGGGACGGCACCCAGCAGGTCCGCGCGCTGCTGGCTCGGGCGCCCCTCACGGCCAACGTGCTGTTCAGAGGGACGACGGTCGAGCTAGAGTGCGATGCCTAAAGCAAGAGCAAGAGCGACACCAGGTACGCCCTAGCCGGGGCTCTCCCTGCCGACCCGCTGCTGGTGAACGACGTCCAGACCAACGGCGCCAGCTAGGGGCGGCAGCCTGGCGGTCGAATTTGAGGCCTCCAACGGGGCTGCCGTGGCAGACCTGTCCACGAGCCTGTTCAGCGTCTAAGATGGCATCAACTGCTGACCAAGAGGCGAATTTTTGCGGACTCAAGCCCGGGCATCGCCACCGCAGGCTCCCTCCAGGGGCACGTGGAGCCTTTGTTGCCCACCGACCAGTTCCTGAACCTGAAGGCTGGCACCGTGTCGGTCCGGGTCACCGATGCCAGCGACAACAGCCTGCGCATCTTCGCGCCGGCCGAAGTGCACGCAAGCGCCACGCGACTGCGTCTCCGGGCCCGCCACGGGCCTCATGACCAACGCCATCTCCACGGCTGGCAATCACCGGCGGCTCTGGAGGCACGGTGGTGAACGGCGAGCTCGACGCACGGGGAACGATGACCGGAGCAAGCGTTGAACTGAACACAGAGCTTCGGGCCCCTACGGCGCGGGCTCGGCCCTCGGACACCTTTCTTACAATTCGCGGCGGCGCCACTTGCATGTACCTGGACGGCCCCGTTTCACAGCATCCGCCATTCAAGCTGATCCGGGATTGGTGTCTTCGCCGGCCTGGGTGATTTTTGTGGGCGATTCAGACAGCAGCATCAAGACAAACCAGCAGCCCACGCCGCTGGCGGATCTGAAAACTGTTTTCGACGCAGTGGAAGTGAAAAGCTACACACGCACCGACACGCCACAGCCCGAGGACCGCATTGGCTTCATAGCCCAGGAGATCCTTGCCTCTGGTACGTTGGGGCCGAAGCTCGCCAGCATGCAAGAAAAGGGCGTTACGGACTGGACTACTCTCGGCTGACATGTGTTCTATGGGGAGTCTGTAAGCAACTCGAGCAGCGCATTGCTATCCTGGAAGATGACTGAGCTCATTGACCATGGAAGCAATCTCCTTGCAGAGCCTTGACTGACTGGAGTCGTACCCCTTGCTGGTGCCTCGCTGGGCCGTCATGGGATGGCGCCCCGAGTTCACCGACAGCGAACATCTGAAGCCCTTGCGACACACAGGTCGCTCGGGCGTCCAAGGGAAGTTGTGCCAGATGCGCGTGGTCTTCTTGTATGAGAAGCCATACTGGCAATAGGTCACGTCGACCCAGGGCAGGCCGAACATGAAGGGCCGCGTTTTCAGCAACCCCGTTTGTGGGTTCTCGATGGCCCAGAACCGAGGCTGCAAGTCCCTGATTATTTCCAGCGCTCTGATGGCAAGGCGATCCCCGTCCTCCAGCTTGCGTGGCCTCCTTGTCAGAGCTCTGGAGTACTCAGTGCACACCGGGGAGGCCCAGATCATGTCAAAGTAGCCCGGGGCGAACATTGGTATAGGCTCCCACGTGCAGATGTCGGCGCAGATGGTGGGACGTGCCTTGGGATCGACGTCAAGGGACGTGACTTCCCACCCCAGCTCCTCGAAGGCTTTGCCCACCGAGCCCGTGCCCGAAAACAATTCCAACAGGCGTCGTCTCATGTTCGTCGTCTATTTCCATGACCGGTTCGAGGGTCAGCCACAGCAGAGCAACGAAACTGGCGCACAGACAGGCCAGCTCCAGGTTGCAGAGCAGCAGCTGACGCCAGTCGCGCAATTGCTCGGACATTTTTTGTTGTGCCTCTTTAAATAAAAGGAGCCCGAGCCATCACCGGAATTGCGACCATGACTCTCCGACTTGGCAGCGTTCAGACAAACCTCAAGGGCGGCAAATTTGCCTGCCGAGCCTCCCGTCTGCTGGAAGACCACGCAGTGGGCCGAAATCCTTTATGAGCCCAGCGCATTCAGCAAGGGCGAACCAAACGAACGCGTCAGCCTGTGCCTGGAGCTCACTGACGAGATGCGAACTGTTGTCGAAGGGCTCGAAAAGCAGGTCTCCGACAAGAAGCTCGAAGGGAAAACAATGCAATCCTGCATCAAGCAGACCCGCAGCAAGACCCACTGCTTAAAATTGAAAGTGAACCTGAGCAGGGCTCGCTTCTGGGACGCTGATGGGAACAGACTCCAGGAGTCTCCGGCTGAGCTTCGCGGACGGAAGGCCCTGGTGGCCGTCGAGGTGCGGCAGCTCTGGATCATGGGTCAGCAATGCGGACTTCTGATGGAAACCAAGGACTTAAAGCTACAGGATGCCTCGCCTCAAGAGTGCCCCCTCTAATGTCACTCCGATGAGCTGAAGCACGGTCGGAAAGGTTACTGACAGCCTCTATGGAAACCTTTCCATCCTCAAAAGCTGGAAACTTGAATTCAAGAATTCGTTTTGTCCCCTCGAATTCAGCGGACAGAAGCTCCGCTCAATTTTTTGAACCCCAGATGAAAAAGCGACTTTCCATATTTTCCGACATGAAACCGGAGCTGGACCAACTGTCAGCTGCCATTCATCGCGAACCGACTGAAGCTCATCTGGTTCATCTGCTTGATGAATGGTCCGTGGGATGGAAACGTAAGGGCAGAACTCGAGCAATCGGTCCTGGTGCATATGAAAAATACTGTACGCTGGGATTGTATGCTCACGGAGGCATAGCTGGGATTTCTCGAGCCTCCGATGATGAAACAATGTGCTCGGCCGTCAACCATTTTCTGCAAAATAGGTTCCCCAACGCTAAATGGACTTCCATCGCCATTCTTTGCAACCCAAAGGTCGGTCTTCATCGTGATCTTCTCAATATGAAGGGGCAACCCAACCACGCCATCACTGTGGGTTCATTCACCGGAGGTCGCGTGTGGGTTGAAGATGAAAATGGAAGCTCTCCAGCCGAGGTCAAAATGAAAACCAAGGTTCGTGCACTCATGGGAACGTGGCACGACATCCATGACAAACCCATCACTTTCAACGCAAGACGGTTTCATCAACTCGAACCTCACAAAGGACATATGTGGGCCTTGGCCGCTTACACGCCTCAGGCTTTCAAGCACGTCTCAGGTGATCTTTCCTCTCGATTGGAGCGTCTTGGATTTCCACTGCCTCCCATTTGCCGGACACCTGTAGAAAAGACAGCCAATGAGCGAGTCGAATGACAGGAGAATCTTCTCCAATGTTTTCATTTCGCGATGTGGCAAATCTTTTGCAACGACGCCAAGCAGCGACGTCCCTTGCGCATCCCACTCGTCGGAGTCGAAGAACTCTCGCTTCATCGCCTGCTCAAGCTGCGAAAGCAGATGCAAGATGAGAGGCAGATGTGGACCTGCTTGACCACCACTTGTAAAGCAAATTTCGACATGCTTCGGATCGGTCACCATAGCGTCCTCACATGGGAACAGAATTTCCGTCGGTGGATCCACAGCGTGGATGTGACCTGGAACATCCTGAATGACAACGTCTTCCACAAACTGGTCGATGAAGTCAAAACCATCAGTCCAATTCTTGGGGGACTTCGTCATTTGAGAGGCTTGGCTCTCATCCCGATAGAAACGGACACACAGGATAGGGGGTCCTATGCC